CCGAGAATGTTGACTTCGGTGCCTCTGGCGTTGCTGCCCCGTGTGGTGCTCACTCGCCCCCTCTGCAGTTGGGAGTCCTGGCCACCATGGACAGGTGGCCTTGCTGCCTCTGCACGTGCACCAGAAAAGGCCTGTGCCCCGAGGGCCAGTCTCGATTCCTGAGCTCTGAGGTCTAAGGCCTGGAGTGCTGTGGTTTCTGTGTCCACCACGTATCGTCCTCACCCACTCCCAGTTGAAAAGAGGCCTCTGCCCCATTTTATCTGCAGGCATTCTGGGTTGGCTTTGAGAGGAACTTGGAGTGCAGCTACTATGTGCAGTGTTCCCAGACACTGCACTGGCAGTGACTCCATTACCACTTCTCACCTTCCTATCAGCACGTGGTCAGCGAGGACCCGTAATGGCCTTGCCTCAATTACTGAGATTTATGTTCCCGTAGGTGATACACTTGGAGAAAACCACCAGCGAGATGGGTGCTGCCTCCCAGGCTCACATCCGTCTCACGTCTCTGAAGAAGACTCTGGCTACCACTCTCGCACCCCGAGTCTTATTGCCAGCCATCAACAAAACCTACGAGCAGATCGAGAAGAGCTGGCAGGTGAGATGATAGTGGGTATTAGACTTGGCAGAAGAGAGAGATGACGCTGTGGTTTTACATTTTTGCTAAGAGGAGAACTTGGCTATTTAATTCCTTTGAAAATGCCTGCTGAGGCCTAGAAGTGGTAAATGCAGCACTTCCTTCTGTGTTGTGGTAGAGCCACATGGGTCCATTCATGAGCATCCTGCAGGAGCACATTGGGGCCATGAAGAAGGAGGAGCTCACCTCCCATCAGTCTCTGCTGACCGCATTCTTCTTGAGGGCCCTGGACTTCCGAGCACAGCACTCCGAGGTAGGTTCCTGTCTGCTCCCCAGTGTGGAAGTTGTCACCTACCTGGTTCAGGGCCTGGGGACGTCAAGCTGGCAATGGTTGTGTTTGCCCAAATGATTGTGGCATTCATGAGGCTGATTCAGCTCTTCTGCTTTCAGTACGACCTAGAAGAAATTGGGAAAACAGAAGGTTGTATCGTGGACTGTCTCGTAGCCATGGTTGTAAAGCTGTCCGAGGTCACGTTCAGACCCCTGTTCTTCAAGGTGAGGCTTTCTTCCCCGCAGCTGCGCTGTGCTGAGAGGCAGGGATAGGGTGTGGGGAAAGAACTGAGATCGTGTTACCCTTACAGCTCTTCGACTGGGCCAGGACAGAAGACGCCCCAAAGGACAGGCTGTTGACGTTTTACAACCTGACGGATTGCATTGCTGACAGACTGAGGGGGCTCTTCACTCTGTTCGCTGGCCACTTAGTAAAGCCCTTTGCAGACACCTTGAATCAGGTGAACATCTCCAAAACAGGTGGGTTGCTGGCAGCAGTCCCTCACACAGGGCGCAGCCTGGTACTCCATTTGACACCATTGGAGAGGTTCTCCAGGCCGGGGAGGGTGACTTTAATATGCCTGCTGTCAGGTAACCAAAGCGCGCGTCCTCGGATGCCGAGAATCCCTGACTAATGGGCAGGCTGTGCGGAGGTGAGGTGCACAGTGGCGCTCAGTGGGCGGGAGCAGCCGCCGCGTTTGGTGGGTTATGCTCTGGGATGCTGATGTCTGGACAGCCGGGGAGCCTTCCCACACAGCGTCAGCCTTCGCGGCTCTGAGGTGCATGGATTCCCAAGAGACCCTCTGGCTCACGTCTGTCCTGCCTCTGTCTGACGAGGGCTTTCCGCAGCTCTTCTTTCTGATTGACTTGAGAGTGTGTGCCCTCACTGGGGGGGGAGAGGACTGGCGAGAAGGTCCCCTGTGGGCGCCGTCACTCTGCAGGCCCTTCTACTTCGCTTCTCCTTCCATCGGCACTTTGGGGATAGACACACATCTGCCTGTCATGTTTCACAGGTCACCAGGCCTGGGACTGAAACCGCACAGCCACACTTCCTTCTGTGTTGTGGTAGAGCCACATGGGTCCATTCATGAGCATCCTGCAGGAGCACATTGGGGCCATGAAGAAGGAGGAGCTCACCTCCCATCAGTCTCTGCTGACCGCATTCTTCTTGAGGGCCCTGGACTTCCGAGCACAGCACTCCGAGGTAGGTTCCTGTCTGCTCCCCAGTGTGGAAGTTGTCACCTACCTGGTTCAGGGCCTGGGGACGTCAAGCTGGCAATGGTTGTGTTTGCCCAAATGATTGTGGCATTCATGAGGCTGATTCAGCTCTTCTGCTTTCAGTACGACCTAGAAGAAATTGGGAAAACAGAAGGTTGTATCGTGGACTGTCTCGTAGCCATGGTTGTAAAGCTGTCCGAGGTCACGTTCAGACCCCTGTTCTTCAAGGTGAGGCTTTCTTCCCCGCAGCTGCGCTGTGCTGAGAGGCAGGGATAGGGTGTGGGGAAAGAACTGAGATCGTGTTACCCTTACAGCTCTTCGACTGGGCCAGGACAGAAGACGCCCCAAAGGACAGGCTGTTGACGTTTTACAACCTGACGGATTGCATTGCTGACAGACTGAGGGGGCTCTTCACTCTGTTCGCTGGCCACTTAGTAAAGCCCTTTGCAGACACCTTGAATCAGGTGAACATCTCCAAAACAGGTGGGTTGCTGGCAGCAGTCCCTCACACAGGGCGCAGCCTGGTACTCCATTTGACACCATTGGAGAGGTTCTCCAGGCCGGGGAGGGTGACTTTAATATGCCTGCTGTCAGGTAACCAAAGCGCGCGTCCTCGGATGCCGAGAATCCCTGACTAATGGGCAGGCTGTGCGGAGGTGAGGTGCACAGTGGCGCTCAGTGGGCGGGAGCAGCCGCCGCGTTTGGTGGGTTATGCTCTGGGATGCTGATGTCTGGACAGCCGGGGAGCCTTCCCACACAGCGTCAGCCTTCGCGGCTCTGAGGTGCATGGATTCCCAAGAGACCCTCTGGCTCACGTCTGTCCTGCCTCTGTCTGACGAGGGCTTTCCGCAGCTCTTCTTTCTGATTGACTTGAGAGTGTGTGCCCTCACTGGGGGGGGAGAGGACTGGCGAGAAGGTCCCCTGTGGGCGCCGTCACTCTGCAGGCCCTTCTACTTCGCTTCTCCTTCCATCGGCACTTTGGGGATAGACACACATCTGCCTGTCATGTTTCACAGGTCACCAGGCCTGGGACTGAAACCGCACAGCCAGCCATGTGGGATGCAGCCTCCTTAACTACCACACCACAGCCTGACCCAGAGATACTCTTACAGTTATTGTCACAAGGATCTGAATGTACACATTGCAATTGCATTGTGAAATCCAGGCTGTCATTTTTTTCCCCCCTCCTATCTACAGATGAAGCATTTTTTGACTCTGAAAATGACCCTGAAAAGTGCTGCCTGCTCCTGCAGTTCATTTTGAACTGTTTGTACAAGATCTTCCTCTTCGACACCCAGCGTTTCCTAAGTAAAGAGCGAGCCGAGGCCTTGATGACACCGCTGGTGGATCAGGTAACCAGATGGGTCGCCTTGTGACTGCATAAGCTGTCACTGTCGGTCAGGTCACAGGGTTTGTATTGGCTAAAATAAGTTTGCTGGACTTTTGTTTAGTCCTAAGTTTTATTTTAGGATTTATTTTTTTATGACTATAGCATATCTTCATTGTGGAATTTTGTGTTTTGACTTTTTTTCTAAAGAAAGATGTAAAATCTCATGGCTAATTAAAAAGTTAGTTGGGGACCAGCAGTTAGCATAATGGCTATGTCACTGGACTCCCACGTAGTGTCGACTGCGGTTCGAGTTCTCGACCCGGTGGCTTAAACTCACACTGGGCACGTGTGCATGCATGCCCAAGATCCCGAGAGGAGAATGGAGGAGAAGGGATTGTGGCGTAGCCATCCCCCCTGGGGGGGTGATTTCTCGCTTTGTGTCTCTCTGTCTCTCTGTCTCTCTCTCTCTGGCGAGCGCACGCGCCCTATAGCAAAAAAAAAAAAAAAGTTTCCTGGCATAATGCTTACACCACTGAACTCCCACGTAGCTGACAGTGGTTTAAGTCCTGGTGGCTTTAAATTCACACTGGGCACGTGTGGGGAGAGAGGATTGCAGCATGGTCAACCCCCCTGGGGTGGGGCATTTCTGTCTCTTCTAATGAGTGTATACTCCCTATAGCAAAAAATCTCACTCTTTGAAAAAAATAATTAGTTGTTTCCTGGGCTTCATGTCCCGGCTGTGGCTGTCTCTGGAGCAGGGAGACCTTTCTGGTGCTCTACTGCAGGTAGAGGGCTCAGGTTAGGGCCATGGTTCCCTAAGAGCCGGCTGGTTCTGAGTGGGCCACGTTGGGAAGGCTAACCAGATGCTGCTTATCTGCGGAAGGGCAAGCGAGCCCTGTCGCTCATAGTTGCCACCTCACTCTTCACAGCTGGAGAACAGACTTGGAGGAGAGGTGCGGTTCCAGGAGCGGGTGGCCACGTACCTGGTGCCGTGCATTGCGCAGTTCTCCGTGGCTGTGGCTGACGACTCCCTCTGGAAACCACTGAACTACCAGGTTCTGCTCAAGACCAGAGACTCCTCGCCCAAGGTCAGGAACCACGGGTAGCAAGCGCATCATGTGGCCTAAATATTGCAAGGGGCCGAATGCAGGCCTGGTCATCTGCTCATCTAGCCCCACAGGCCTGCTGGGATTGGCTGGAATTGAGCCTGAGCGATGTAATGCTTAGTTTTTATAAGGCTAACTATAAATAATAGCGGTTCCCTGGGACTGCCCCACCCTGATGCTGGCAGAGGGAGTACTGAAGGACAAAGTCTCTACACACTTGCAGCTCTGAACAGCAAAGTGTCAATTAAAATGTCAGTATGCTCCAGGTGAACACTGTCCCAGGGGACCTGCGAGTCAGGGCCAGGTGTCGCCTCCTCTGACAACCTTGAGCATGCAAGGACAGTGGCAGGAGCACTGTGCCGTGGCGAGGTTGGGTAGAAGTTAGGGTTTCATGCCTGAGTGTCAGAACCTCCCAGCTGTTCTGCAGTGAATTACCATTTCTCCAAATCGTTCTCACATTAAACCTCACTGATATTAAAAAGACCAAAGCAGGATTTTATCAGTGGGTTCATGGCATCAAAATTGGAACATTTACTTAGTGAGAACCTAAGCACGGAAACTGCTCTTCCAAACACCCAAACCATAGCCACAGGTTCTTAAGCAAGTAGGAGCGTGGAATCCATTTTAGCGTTTCAGTTTGGTTGCACACTGTCAAGAAAATTCTGATTTCATACAGCCAGTCATAAATGTTTTTAACAACTCGCAACATCAAAGTGGTCTTTACCTATCCAGAACTGAGAGGGCTGACCAGCCAGCAGGTCCGTTTCAGGTCAGTCACTGGTACGCACCGCTGCTTGCCTGCCTTGTCAGAGACGGTGAGAAACACCCAGCTTCCAAACTGGTACACTGTCACAGTGCTTTTTACTCGGAGCTGAGCTGAGAGTGTCACCCACATGGGTACCCTGACCCTTCCCGACTACAGTGGTGACCACAGACGTGTTGGTGAGAGCCCTGTCAGTGACAGCAGAGTGCACACTCAGCAAAGCTGGTATCTCCAGTGCAGTTAAATTTGGTGACATATGTGAGTTAGAATGTGACACTTTAGGGCCAGCTGATGGTATGGTGGTGCAGGCAGCTGGATCAGACATGGCCAACTGTGGGTGAAGTCCCAGATCCCGTGGCTTGAAACCACACCAGGCGTGCGTGCATGTATGCCCTAAATCCTGAAAGGAGAAGTGGAAAAGGGATTACAGCAAGACCGTCTCCTATTTTGGGGGTGGAGGGTGCTTTCTCACTTTAACTTTCCCTCCATTTCTGGCAAGTGCACACAGCCTATAGCAAATTAAAGAAAAATGTGGACACGGCTCTTTTACTGTTTTTTTGTAAAGGGATATTGTAAATTGGTATTCACACTGAAGATCTATACTGCTACAATACGATTTGAAAACTGATTTTTAAGGTTGCCATATTCCACACAGACCCTGCTTGAACAAGTTACACTGGTATTCTGCAGTGAGAGTTGAACGGGCACAGGAGAGAAAGCAGAGGCGTGTGAAATAGTGGGTCCATTGCAAGTCAGAACAGACCCGAAGGTCCCAAGTGCAGCCATTTCTACTTCGGTGTTTTCTTCTGTCCCTACAGGTTCGCTTTGCTGCTTTGATTACTGTGTTAGCGCTGGCTGAGAAACTGAAGGAGAATTACATCGTCCTACTTCCAGAATCTATTCCTTTCTTAGCAGAATTAATGGAAGGTAATCCCCAAACTGTTAAATAATTCAGTAAAACGGTGGCGCTGTCCCAGTCTCACCGTGGCGGCCGAGCCTTGCTGAGGGTGAGGGAGCCACTTAGGAAGTGAGTGAGATGGCATGCAGTGGATCTTCACCTGTTTTTGTGGTTTTTCTGTGATCGTGTAAGACCATGGTGTTTTTTAGGTATCCTCTTAAATTTACACAATTGTGCCTGGGTTCTAACATAGGGTTTGTGCATTAGCATTTAGGATGTAATAGGATGCCTGCATTGTTTGTTTAAATTTTCTATAAGGCATGTGAGCTCCCCGAGGTTGGGTGTGGGGAGAGAGAAAGTGAGAACTCGCCACCCAGGGATATGGCCATGCTGTAATCCCTTCTCCATTCCCCTCTCAAGGTATTGGGCACACACGGCATGTTTTGCAAGCCACTAGGTCTGGGACTCAAACTACATGGTTGGCTATGTGTGATCCAGCTGCCCAACCAGATCACTGACTGGCCCAGGGCGCCCACTTCTAATGAAGCCCAGTGTCTACATGGGACCCAGGGTTGAGTGTTCCATGGTGTGTGCCGTCATCTCTGCTTCGAGGTGACAGAGCCAGTGAGAGCCCATGGGGTGCGTGGTCAGAGCAGTAGGTTGGTGTGTCTGGCCCAAGTGTCGCTGCATGTCCTGCCACCACACATCTAGGAAGACGCATCCAGGAAGATGTCGGTCCTGCTGTGCAGGCTTGGTGGGCAGGGAGACCGCACGCCTCCTGCCGAGTTCCTGCTTGGTGGGGCACACACTGGGGCCGTGGTGCCCTGGGAACTGGGACTCAGTTTGTCGGCACCCTTTCAGGGCTCTGGCTTATTAGCTTCCAGGACTAAGCCCAGGAAGGGATGAAGGCAGGAAGGAGGGCAGGGTTAGGTCCCCACAGCCGACGTGCTGCCTTTCACCCTCCATAGAGCTGGAGCTACGTGCCAGGAAGCTTAGGCTGGCCCCTGGGGCAGGAGGGCTGACTCACACCGGCGTCGTGATGTTTTTCAGATGAATGTGAAGAAGTGGAGCTCCAGTGCCAGAAGACCATCCAGCAGCTGGAGGGCATCCTGGGGGAGCCGCTGCAGGGCTACTTCTGACACAGCCCAGAGTGCAGGTCTCCCATCCATGGGTTTATCTTGGGGTGTTCGGAACCATGTTCCTTTTGGTGCCTTAACACCCACTTGGACTACTTATAAAACACCCACGTCTGTGCTCCTGCGGAAGCCTCTCCTATGGTTACAAAGAATAAATGTTTTATACAGACCACTGTGTTTTACCCTTCATACATCGGCGTGCATGTTCCTGACCCATTAGACTTCAGCACCCACAGCCGGCGCCTCGTTTAGACTGAGCCTTGTCCTTCCTGAAGTGTCTGCACACAGGTGTGTCCTCTGGGGACTTCACTGTAGGTAGTCTATTGCGTCAGCACTCACCAAGAACGCCCCCAACTGCTCAGCCCTGGGGTTCCCCCTTGGTCTGGGATGGGGGCGGGCCTGGAGCAAGTTGTCAGGACAGCTGTCTCCTTTGATCCCCTGGTGGGGAGATGGAGGCAGCAAGCTGAACATGGCCTGCTGGCACCTCGGCCTCCTATGGCCTCCAGGGTTAAAGGTGGTCACATTCCCACGCGCTGAGTACTTGCGAGAGAAAGTAATCACCAGCAGATCTTTTTCAACTGATGTTTTTCATTTCTGGTCTTAGCTCGCGGTGGAGCAAGGAAGTGAAGGCTCCGAGTGGAGCAGAGGTGGCCAGGTTTCCGACAGCGGCTGAATGCTCTGCTGCCCGGGGCTCACGTGGTGACCGGGAGCCTGATTTAGTTTAGCCTGACGTACCACTGGGCCCACGAGCAGCAGCCCTCCTTGCAGCTAGCCCCCATTTCTAAGAACTCTCAATAACATCCTAAGACTCATCTGTTACATCCAAAGATTCATCTTCGCTCCGTGTAAGACAAAAGCGAAAGTCAGACTTGAAAGACGCACAGGAGTGAAAGCCCACGTGCCCTTTCTCCTCACTGGCCTGTAGTCGGTCTGCACTGATCTTTCTGAAGAGTAATGGGGATCTAGAGCCAGCCCGCCACCACCTCAGTGCCTGAGCACAGCAGGGCCACGTGACAAATCCACAGGAAGCTAGAAAGGGTTTAAGGACCAGCAGCTTCTACAGAGAGTGTGTATTTAAGAATTACTTCATTTATTTATTTAATTTGACCAGAAAGGGACAGAGAGAGTGAGGAAGCAAGCTGCCAGGTCTCGTGCTTGAACCACAGTCAGCCACGCGGGAGTCCCGCGCCCTTAACCACCACGCCACCTGCCGGCCCCAGAGTGCTTTTTAAGAAAGAAAACTGGTAATGCCATTCTAGCAAACGGACATGAATAGTGCCTAATTCAAGCTGTAGTGAACATGCTCCCAGGCCCTGGCTGAGTTTTCCCAGCAGTTTCATAGAATAAAACGATCTACTTGGCTTTTCCGGCCCCACTCCCAAACCTGTGAGATTGCCTCTGCCAAGACCTGGCCAGTAAAGAGCCTCCACACAACACCTGCCGGCTCCCTTCCAGGAGCAGAAACGAGACGCAGCAGTCGCAGTCCGACCCGCAGGAGCAGGACTGCCTCGGTTTCAGAGGGAGCGGAGTTTGTGCTCAGCTGCGGGCGGTGGCAGGCGCAGGAAGGAGCGCAGGCAGCACCCGTCTGAGCACGGTGGTCCAGGAACTGGGCCCCCACCTGCGCTCTCCCTCCCCAGGTCTCACTCTGATAGCACCTATCTCCTAAGTCCCCTAAGCCCATTCTTGGCATCGCTGTTGGCTGTGGACACGTCACCTGGAATGCTGTGGTACTCACAGGCCTGTGACACACCGAGTTCCAGCAAGAACACAGATCAGCCACCTGGCGCTTGGCCCGGTTCGTTCCAACTCTGTGTTTGGTTTGTGCTGCCTGACTTCCAGGCTATGTTCGGAGTCAGGAACGACCTGGTGAAGCAGAGCTCGAGGGTTCTCAGCCCCGACTGGGGAGAAGGAATGCAGGCTGTGACAGCCACCCAGAGAGACTGGCTGTGCTTAGAGTCTGCAGGCAGGCTGAGCCCTGAAGACTGGAGCCTGCTGGAGCCTCTGGGGGTGACGGCCCGAGCTCACAGCCTGGCCCTGTGGGGGTCTGAGCACTGCCCTGAGCACACGCTGAGCAAACATGCTGGGGCACCCCGGTGTGTCCTGCATAGGCACTTGGTAAATGCTTGTTAAGTGTGGTTCTAGAGAGGAGGCCACGGTGGGAGCGAGCGAGCGGAGTGCCTGAGCTGCTGCTGCCGCAGACGCCCTCCCTCAGCACTAGCCTGCGCTGGCGAGGACGGCGCCCGCCCAGACCGGGGCAAGGAAGCTGCCAGCGAGTGAAGGAGCAGTGTGCGCAAGGCCGTGCACACAGCCCAGTGTATTGGCTTTCTCTGGTGGCTGCCGGCTACCAGCTCCTCACATCCAGCAGGTGGATGTCGCCGTCCACTTCCAGGGTGTCGATGCTGCCAAGATCCTTAAACCGGTGTTTGTACTCCAGGCTGTGCATGCCGTTGACCGCGACCTTGAACTCCTGGACGTCGCAGTAGACGATCATCTGAGAAGGGAGACCACCGTTAGTGCCTTCCCCGCGGGGTCGGTTCTGCACTTCAGGGTCGGGAAGCGATCGCTTGGCTTTCTGGGCTTTCGTTACACACGGAGCAGTCCTCCCCGCCAGGGCTGCTTGCTTTCTGCCCCTGCATCAGGGAGCCCCTAGGCAGGCCTGGGCTTCCCCCCGGCCCTCTGCTTCCTCTCCTCAGCTCCCCCTGCCCCTGAGGAAAAGGAGCGTGACCGCACAGGAAAGATGTGGCCAGCCTGACCCTCGTCCACTGGGCCGCGAGTCCAGCCAGCAGCCCAAGGGCCAGGTGGGCGAGCCAGACGGGCAACCTGAGTGGGGTGCAGGCTGCACAGCTGGTGGGCGGTCCTGTGCCCCCGGCTCGGCACACCTGGCTTGGCCTGCTTCTCAGAGCCCCCCCCCCCAGCTAAGTGACGGTCCTGAGTCAGGGGCGGCCCCGTGATGAGTATCAGCCCTCCAGGTTCCCTGGCCAAGAGGAACCTGCACCCACCTGGACGCCAGGCGAAGGCTGCCTGCCGACACCAAGCGGGTGGCCCTGCACTGAGAGCAGGAACAGCATAGCCTGTCCCGAGCGAGGCTCCCTGAGGCCAGGCAGGCACAAAGCCAGCCCACAAAGCCGCAGAGGGTGGGACATGGCTGCCAGGAAGTGAGGAAGGAGCTGCACAGACTGGGCCCTACAAGGAGGCGGGACTCTGGTATCAGCCCACTGCAGTGACCTTGGTAACTCTGGGGAAGACACCCAGCCTCGCCTGCAGCCCCTCAGAGGCAGGCGAGCTGGCAGGTGGGCCGTGGGTTACCAGAATGGTGCCGGGCTGAGGCAGAAACAGCAAAGCACAGGAGGGGACACAGCGAAGCCAGAGAAGAGACCATGAAGAGGGTACAGCACACGCAGAAGACCTTGCCCAGAGGGAAGCGAGCGATGGGCCACCCGAGGTCCCACGCTGCTGCTCGGAATGCGAAGGGCACAGATGAGGCTGCAGTACTGTGAGCTGCGCAGACTGGAGGGGCCACGAGCCTCGAAATGAAGGACCGGTACGTGGAGGTCTGCACCGACCGGGGAGGGCACAAAACGCACGCCACTGGGAAGAGCCTCGCTGCTGACGGCAAGGCCAGAGCAGGAGGACAGCTACCGTCTCTGAGGTAGACAGCTAGCAAATGGAAGATGGTCGCTGCAGCGTGTGCAAGGTGCTGCCCTCCATTTCTCACTGTGGTTTCTTCTGCGAGACCAGCCGTGCTCCGCCATAGCCCGCCAGGCGCCCAGGCACACATGCGCCCTCGGGCAGGAGCCAAGGCCCTCCCTGGGCGGCAGCACAGTGGGGATCAGGCCCCTCTGCTGGCAGCCGGCCCAGCCAGCCCAACTCCGCCTACAGGAAATGCCTGCATGCGCTTCACTTTGCCTCCTTGATGGTGTTACCTGAATTAGGAATGAATGTGATTTCTCATCTTGGTATTCTTCAGCAACATTTGTTACAGTTCTCCTTTTTAATCTTAGATCCTAACATGGGACCCAGATAGGTCACAAGGCAAGTCACAGGGCCAGCAAGTGGCATGGTAGTTGAGGTGCTGGGCTCCCACATGACTGACCAGAGTTCTAGTCCCAGACCAGATGGCTTCTTTCTCACTTTCTCGCTCTCTGCCCCTCTGGTGAGTGCAAAAACTTTAAAAAATAATAAATAAAATAAGTAATTTTTTAGAAAGAGAGAAGTCACACCGCTGTGCCCTGCCCTCAGCCAGGACTGGCTTTCCTCTGGGCACCGGCCTCAGCGCCTTGCAGTACCCACGTCTCCTTCAGTCCCAACTGCTGTGCTCTTCCCACCGCCAGGGGGCGTCCCACCATGCCTCAGCGGGAGACCCATCTCCAGCTACTATGGCCACATCCTCTGCAGCCTTCCAAGTTCCAAGCCATTCCCTACAGCTTTAGGAAACTCCGCGATTGGCCCACTCCTGTCTACACTCCATGTACCAGGGCACCGCAGCAGCTCAGAACGTGGGGATAAACTGCCTCTCACGCGGCCATCTATTCGGCCCGACGTTCACGCTTTCCACAGCTATCGACAGTACCGCTGCGTCCTGGCGGACTCAGCCGTCTGAGGCACGGGACAGTTTAAACCTTCCTCGGAGCGTGACCTAAACCGATGCCCCTAGGGGACGTGTGTGGTGGTGAGTCACCTCCACCCACCCAGGACCACCACTCGGGGACACCTGATTCTCTGCTCAGCACCCCAGAAACATGTTTTGGGGAAGCCATGGGTTCTCACAATACTCTTTTTAATTTTTAAGTTGGTTTTTTGTTTTTTTTTGTTTGTTTGTTTTGGTTTGTTTTGCTATAGGGTACATGCATTTGCCAGAGACAGAGAAATCACCCTGCTGAATTCCATCCTTCTCTTGGGATTTTGGGCACACATGCACACATGCCTGGTGTGTTTTTCAAGCTACCGGGTCTGGGATTCAAACCACGCGGTCGACCATGTGGGACCCAGCACCTTACCCTCCACGCCACCTGCTGGCCTAGGTATTCACGTTTAGGGACTGAGGGCCCCTGCCTTTTGGTCCTGAGGTTCTCTTGTCCCCCCGAGTACATGTAAACAGGACGCTCTCCTCATGGGGGACGACGCTGTGCCAGCTCTCAGGCTCCTGGTCCCCCTGCCCACGGGACTGAGCATGTCATTTCAGCCCTGAGATGGGATCCCACCAGAGCTCCACAGACCCACGAGGGGCGGCCGTCCCCTTCCACACACCAGCAGACATGCTATGCCCTCCGTCTTGGCTCTGAGTGCCATTCGGATGGTGACCCCCACACCCTCACCAGTCAGGACCATCCCAGCACCCTTGTCCCCGTCGCACTTTCAATAGCTATGCCCTCACCTCAAAGTACATCCCAGGGCTGAACGGAAAACTGGTGATGCTCCTCTCTTCTTCCCCCCAGGACTCCTGAAGGAATGAGTTCCTCACAAAGGCTTTGATATTCAGGCGCGGGTTCAAGTGAAGGGCGATATCCTTTGATTTCCCTGCTACGAGGTCAATGTTGAAGCTTTGGAGAGGAAGAAAACCTTAATTAAACAGTACAGAGGAGTGGCCTCCGTGAGCCCCGCCACCGGGCTTGTACTGGCCGACACACGGGGTGCACACC